GCTTTGATGTCAAGTTGCTCACGGGCCTACACTGTTCCACTTCAGGAGCTGAAGGGGAAGTTCCTGATCAAAGGGAAGAGATTAAACAAGCTGGAGGCCAGCTTCGCTCCCGAGGCAGCTGCGGCTGATGACACGGACGTGACGGAGGAGGACGAGTCGAATAATGAAGACGAGGAGGACGAACAGAAGGAGGAAGAGAAGAGAAAGGTGGGGCGTCGCACAGGTGACCTCCGCTAACATTTCTTTAGACGTTTATTTTGTACCGACACTTGATTTCCCTGTTGATGCATAGGCGAAAAAGAAGCTGAAACTAGCGAAAGAGCTGTCTGACATGGTGGTTTACTGTAAGAGTGTCCACTTCCACGGCTTTGAGGACGCAAAACGGAACCTGAGCTTCTACGAGATGTCGTCCTTCAAGGAGAAGAAGGCCATGACGCTGGCAGAGGAGTCGGGTGAGGAAGGCTGGATTCACTCAAATGTTATTGTGTCTAGATTTATGATAGAAGATCAGGATCTAGCTTTTCAGCTCAGTAGATGACGCTGTTCTTCTGTCTCGATGTGCTCTCTGCAGCCAATTCCTACATCCACCACAACGTGGACAAGCTGAGCCGCATCTATCCAGGAGGCTCCAGGACCGACTCCTCCAACTACAACCCAGTGCCTCTGTGGAACGCCGGCTGCCAAATAGGTACACGATGTTGACGCAAGGAGGGAATTACAATCCATCACGTGTACAGTCCAATGTCACAACCAACTGATGGGAGACGTTGGCTTATTTTCGATTCATCATTCTGCCCCTGCGTCTTCTTCTTATTTCCTTTTCAGTGGCCTTAAACTTCCAGACAGCCTGCACAGACATGGATGTCAACCAGGGCAGATTCCTGGTTAACGGAAAGAGCGGCTACATCCTGAAACCGGCCTTCATGAGGGACGTAGCCACGGAGTTCGACCCCATCACCCTGACCCGAGGAGACTGGCTGAAGCACAAGACGCTCCATGTCATGGTGAGTGTTTTTCACTGCAATGAAGCGCACTGACATTGACTGACATTCGCTGTCGCGCTTCCCGTTCACAAATCACGCCGTTCAGCATTGTGCAGAGTTGAGATCGGGAAGGATCTTTCACTGACGTGATGTACCCTTCCCTGTCGCCAGGTTATATCTGCCCAGCAGCTCCCCAAAGTGAACAAGAAGAAATCCTCCATTGTGGACCCGTTGGTTAAAGTGCAGGTGTACGGAGTGCCGGCTGATGTTGCCGAGAAAGAGACCATCGCGATTGAAAACAACGGTACCTTTCCCTTCAAACGCGATATTCTTGTGTTTTGTACTGTACTTTTGTTTGCCAATGCAGTTTACCAAAAGGTTTTATACTTGTGTTTTTGCATTTATGACGCGTGACTTCAGAACATGTCTCTACCTGTAGTAGCCTCAGGAGACCAGAATGCAATGCAGCCACAACAATGGTGGCATTTCGCTTCAGTTGTAAGACTGTTGCCTCTTGTTTACTGGGGGGGAAATAAATTCCTGCTCTGCCTACCCTGTGTATCCGTCTTCAACATGTAAAACTCACAGCTGCATACAACTAAAGTATTTACGCCCTCTGGGTGTTTTTTTCCCCGAAATGCACTCTGGGAGACGAGGGCAGCCCTTGAGGCAGAAGTAGAGCAGGCTGGTTAAAAGATCACCCAATAACTGGAGCCGGAATGCGTCACAAATGAATGATTCACAACTTCTGACGGTACATTTCATTTTTTTTTTTTTTTTTTCCCCCCCCCCCCCGGTTGAAGGTTTCAACCCAGCGTGGAATGAAAGCTTCCAGCTTGATGTGTATGTACCAGAGCTAGCACTGGTGCGCTTTGCCGTTGAAGACCACGACTCCACGTCTGATAATGAGTTTGTTGGGCAGTACACACTTCCATTCAACAGCTTAAAAATGGGTGAGTTCAGCAACTGGCAGCGGATATTTGCAAAATGTTCTGTTTTCCCTCCGCCTCACTGTTATCCCTTCAGGATGTAAAATAGTTCCTTGTTTTCACACTTCATAAATTAACTCAAGCTGTCCTCTTCTCTGGTCGAGCACAGAGAGCTCAGTTCACCGTCTTCACCACTGACTGCAGCCGCTTTGTGCTCCCACACAGGATACAGACACGTGCCTCTGCTCAATAAGAACGGAGACGTCCTCCCCTCAGCTGGACTCTTTGTACACATTATGGTCGTTGATGCCGAGTGAGACGTCACCGACGGGAAATAAGGACCTCCGAAACACAGCCTCCGTTTCTGCTGTTGATTAATTGTTTTTTTTCCTCTATTGTTTTAAGTTCATGATTAACTTATTGGCTTCATTCCAGTAGTTTGAGCTGCTACTCTAAACGTCAGATAAATACCACAATCTTCTCAGCAAGCTAAAGGACTCCCATCTGCAACTGGAAAGTTGCATTGGGAGGTGGGTATATGCATGCAAATGCTGCACATCCACAGCAGGTTTGCCAAACTTTTAAAATGCTCCACATGAGTGACATTACACCTTCAACGGTGTCCCTCATTTCTAGTCTGTTAATGTATTGTCTATTTAAGTTTTTTAAATGACCCTTTTATGAATTCTGGAGAAACATAAGCCAACATGGAAACAATGTGCTTTGTATTCATCAGTCATTTTAGTGTGGTTATTTTTTTCATGTAACATCGTCACGACTTCTTCTTTTTGTAAATCAAGATGAAGATAAAAGTTTTAAACATGAACTCTCACTGTTTTTTTTTTTTTTTTTTTGTTTTTTTTAATATCTCCTCGCCGGTGATAGCCGTGGCCGGAGGAGCTAGTCCATCTGTCCTTCCCATTCTTGCGAACGTGTTATCTCAGGAACTCCTGGAGAGAATTTCTTCAAATGTGGCACAAACGTCCACGAATTTGGTGGTCAAAGGTCACTGTGCCTTCACGAAACACACAACTTGGTAAATGATATGCTAGTTATGACAATTTCATACAAATGTCTAACAGGATAAGATTACGAAATGACGACTGACTGGAGGAGGCGGTAACTCTTTTTCCAGCACTTCGAACTAAACTGTGTCTCACTTATCTGAGGATAAACTTTTGTCTCTGTAGTCTTATAAGACTTTAAAGATGATTTAATAATCCTGGGACTCATGTGGAATATTACAACTGTATAGTACCGTGTTGAAACACTTTATATTGTGCAAACAGGAAAAGAGCTTCAGCCTTTCCACAGAATAAAACCATTGGCCTAGTCAACATTGGATGGACACGCCTTTGGTACACAGTGTTACTCCAACAATCAAAAGGAAGTCATGGAGGTGATGCACATAAATGCACCGCTCACGGGTTAGCGCACGGTTGAATGGCATTTAAGCCTTTGACTACTGTAAGGATATTTTATGTATTTTGTACATAAAGCAGCCATAACTAATGTTTGTCCTAAATGATGGGGTTGCATGACTTGTTGAATGTGAGAGCGGTTACATTTAGTAACTATCCACTCTGCAATTCCCCCTAAGCACTCTGGAGTTTTTTTAAGCCTCTTCCAGCTCATTGCTTTACCTTTGGTTCACTTTCACGGCGTCATTTTTGGCCACAAGCAGCCATCTTGCCTGCTCAGCACCAAACGGCAGACACAGTTAGCGACTTCCTAGTCAACATAGTGGCGTATTTAGCAGCTATAGAGACATATCACGGGTAAATATTGGACTTGCATTCATCAGGTGGTCGGAAACACCACCCCAAGTTTATGCTAATGTTGCTCCAAACCTGCTGAATGGATGTACATAACTGTAGGCTAACACGTTTGCCATATCAAAGTAAAAGGTGTCTGCAGACAGCTTGTCCCTGTTGCCCTTAAGTGGCTACAAATCTAATTTATTGGAGGTTAAATTGAATTTGTTGACGGACATTTTTGCACAAGATCAAATAAGCTTGTCCTAACATGACGTGACCTCAGTGTGCCAGCTCATTTAGGTCACTTAAACGTGCCATTAAGCTGCTGACAGAAGACAAGCGACATTCCTCCATAAAAATGTGCTTTATTGTGACGTGATTGGAAGGAAATGAATGTATAACATTTTACAGTGAGCTTATTCTAACAGAACACAGTGACATTCTCAGGACTTTTTGAGTTATCAGAGCACATCAGGTACAGACATTGGAAACCTCAATCACACCAGTTTGAAGTGATGATCTTTGGCCATATTTCATGTACCGTGTCATACATTTGAATAAAAAATAAAAAAATGTAGACATGACATTGTTTCAATGAATCCTTTTTATTATGGAAAGAAAAAAGTGATGCTCGGGATGAAAACACGCTGCCGGCACTCGAAGTAAGCCAACCATAACAGACACGTTTTTGTTTGAAAAATAGAAAGTGAATGACCTCACCAAGAAAACAAAACACTGACTTCAACTGAAGTGTTGTAGAACCATGGTGTTAAATCAATACAAAATGGTGTGATTATGAGTGAGGTGATACAAAAAAGAAAAACTGAAAGTTAGCACAAACATGATGCCTGTGCGCGCGCGCACGCACACACACACACACACACACACACACACACACACGCGCGCGCGCCCCCTGATAGGAAAGACGAGACCTGACTGAGAATTCTTACCAGAGGCAAGACGGGGACATTACAGATCTGAAAGGAAGGGGAGAACAAGCTGGATACAACTGGTAATATGCAACTTTTCAAACCAAATACTGACAAAGGTAGGTAGAAAAATATCACAATGATAAACATGTTTCAGAGGAAGGTCAGGTTGAGAAGAGTCACTTCTTATAAAAAAAAAAAAGAAGAGATTGCACTGAAACCATCATGAGCTCACCACCAACACAAATGCTTCTGCAAAAGAAAGGAAATATTTCAATACGCCTGTAGGAGCTGAATTATGAAGTAGTGTAGGTCTTTCATAATGAGAATTCATTGTTGATTTCACACTCCATAAGAAAGTACTAATGAGACGATGCTAGAACTTGTAGATGTAACCTTGGACTTGATGGAGAAGCGTTGCTTTGTGCCTCCACAGGCGAAAATGCTATGATGAGGTTCCTCACAGTCCTGTTGCGGTGCCCGAGTAATGCTCCTCTTAGAGCCGGCCCCTAACATCTGGAGGAGCAGCCAGGACTGAGCACTCATCTGTAGGTTTGGAAGGCGTTCTATCTTTATTTTTTTCTTCCTTTTTTTAAACTTTCTTGCACAACAAAAGCTGATAATGTATGGCAATGTAGATCACTATACAAGGTCCTTGGCTTTTGTTGTTGAAAAAGACCAAGCATCGTTCAAGTTGTTTCAGTTTTTCGTTAAAAAAAACCAAAAAAACAATTACACTAACTTATACGTGTATGTCCAGTTTTCGGGTCAAATAATGTGAGAAATGAATGTGTTAAGGTTCAATCATGAACACTAAAAGTCCTCGTGATAACCAGGCCGCCCTTTAGTGTCAACGGAACCTTGTCAAAGTGCTCGAGACAACGAAAACCCCAACCCTTCTAAAAAAAAAAAAAAAAAAAAGAAAAGTTATTGCCATGGTAGCTAATGTTGCAGCATCCGGTTGGCGTGGCTCCTCTCAAACGTAGGCACTGAGGTGAAGAGCAGGTAAGAAGAGTCTGGGAAGGTAAACATCGCACATCGTCTCCACTGGTCGAGACCGGGCCATCGCCGTTTGTAAATCAAGAGAGAATGGTGCTACTTCAACACTGACAGACTCCAACCAACGCCGTCCTGTCTTCCCTAAAGAGACTGACTTCGTGGAACAATAAAAACATGGCACTCGACCCATTTGCTGTCAGTTCCCGGACTATTTGAATCAACAAAAGGGATACCTTTGCAACTGTGTAGCATTATTGAGAAGGATCATCCCCTGAGGGTGAAGCAGCACCACTTATGTGTGCCCCCCCCGGAAAAAAAGAGAAGATGAAGCGGGCTAACAGCTAGCCTTATGATAAGCACAACATGACAAAGACCTCGTGACAATAAAAACACTATTTGTCAAAAGAATAAATCCTAAAATGCTATACGTACTACTAATGGTTCAACAGTTATGGCTGAACCCCTGGTAAAGATATGAAGCCTGATAAATAAATAAAAGAATTTGCTTATTTGGCAAATAATACAATTAGATATGTGTGTGTGTGGGGGACACAGAAGATAAATGGCACAATGTCATCTGAAGATCTACTGTACTTGCAGGTGGGGCAAAAAGTTCACAATTGCAAATGTACTCCTTCGCCAAAAACAAAATATTTCTACATATAATGAAAGCAGAAAGAAAGAAAGTCACGTCTATATAATGGCACAAGCATGCCGGGGGAAAAAATAATATAAGAATATTATGGAGACATTTACCCAGCATTTGATGAATCAAAAAGAACAAAAGAAAGTCAAACGTTTATATGAAGGTACTTCTTTGTCTACTTTAAAGCATATTTTGTGTGAAAAGACTGAAGTACTCTGGAAATATGCCAAGTACAAAATATCTCCCCATATAAACAACATTCACACAAGGCACTTCATTCAGTAAGAAAAGAGAGTCACAGTCCTTCCTTCTGCCACAAACTGCCTGCATAGCAACAATACGAGGACGAGATCTTCTCAGACTTTTGTGTGGAACCACAAAAGAAATGTCAAACAAAACGTTGTTGGGCGGTTTTTTTTGTTGTTTTTTTGGTTTTAAAATAAGCACTTCACCGAATAGTAAAACTTTGTTGGTTTAAAAATGAAGACCAGAGTTCATTTCTCTTAGCATTTTGTCCCCACTGTTATCAACTTAGGACGCTCTGTACACTTTCTGGTGTGTTTTTTTTTTTTTTTTTGTTGTGAAACACAGTGCTCCTGGGATATTTTAGTGTTTTTCTCTGATGGCACTCGGAAGGCAGCCAGTCACCAGGTTAGACGGGGGGGGGGGGGGGGGGGGGGGGTTACATGGAGGTTTCCACAGTTAAGATCCCGAGGCGTCCCCTTGGGGCAGAGACAAGAGGGGCGCTTGTGGGACGATCCGCCTGAGTCTGAGAGGTGTGGTTGTAGAAAAAGGGCAGAGATCGACAGAGGGGAGGATGGAGAGCACCGGCGGCGGGCGGCGCTGTGGTGTGTCCTGCTACCTGCCTCTCAGATCCTGCAGGACTCCGTAAACCTCTTCTTCTTTGCTGAGTCCCTCAAAGAAAGGCAGCAGGTCCAGGAGCTCCGTGTCATTCATATCGTCGAACCAGGATTGGACGGGGACCTTTGGGAGACGGGAACACCACCTGCAGTTAGCTTTTCTTCTAATACCAACTCATACTTTATAAAGAAGACCACCACTGCATTCGAAACATGGGAACAGAACCAAAAAACAACAACAACGTATGGTTGAGGAACTCACAGCATTTTCTGGGTGGAAAATGTAAGAGGCGGGCGAATTGTCAACGATGATAACGTTGCTGAGCTCTCGTCCCAACCGACTGAGGTCTTTGACGTAGTTCCCTCTGTGGAAAACGCAGGATTCTCTAAAGAGTCGCTCTCGGAACACGCCCCACTGGTCCAGCAGGTCTGCCACAGGGTCAGCATACTGTCCCAACCAAAACAGACATGGAACACGTCACAACTACGGCGATACATTTAAATCAAGATCAAAAATCTTTGTGGTGGTGTATACCTCAGCTAGAGCTCCAACAAGAACAACTGGCAAATGCAACGCTAATAGTCCAAAAAGGAAGCAGGTTATGTTTACCCGACGACACCCCAGAGAATACTACTCTATGACACAAAAAGCACAAGCGACAGCTAGCCGTCAACTCAGCACGGAGAACATCTGATGCTACAGAAACAGGAGGCCCTTCACATGGTTATGTCTCCGTCTCATTCGTTACACTTACCCATACATTATTGGATAAGATGCAAAAAGACACAGATGGAGAGCGAGGCAGAGGAAGTGTGAACATTCAGACAGCAAGAGCAGATGAAATATACCAGAAGAAGGAAATGGGAAAATGTTGCTCCACAGGAACTGGTTAGTAACCAAAGCACACGTGTCACAAGCACAGACGACGTGTCTGAACACACCTTGGCAAGACTGGCTGTGAAGAGGACACATTCAAATAGCTCGCCCATCTTTTGGAGAAACTCGTCCACATGGGGTCGCTTCAGCACGTACACCTGCAAGACACACCGCGGGTGTTAAGCCAGGTCAGAGGAAACATGCATGTGTAACACGAGTGTTGAGAGAGCAACGTACGGCTGAAAGTATGACTCACGCAATTTAATAGCAGTATTTGGACAGTGTGCTGTTATAATCCTCTCTAAGAGACATCATGTTCACTCAGTTGAGATGCTCTTCGCCCAGCGACTGCCACCCAGTGCAAGTAATCGTGAATAGGCCAACCAGGATACACACAGCCTATCCTGGATTACTTGAACCGGATCACAGCCAGTGTCTCTTCGGTAGCTTCACGTGGGAGCAAAAGTGACTTCTTGACCCTGATGTACTTCACTAAAAATGTATTTTTATTGTGTGTGTGTGTGTGTGTGTGTGTGTGAGAACAATACCTGATGAACGGTACCGTCGATCTCCACCGGAACAATAAAGTCTGCGTTGCTGATGGGCTGCAAGAAGAAACAACAGCGGGTCAGTGTCATTCAGATAGTTGGTGTAGTACCACAACCGACCAGCAGAGGTCCTGCTAGGAGCACTAAAACTTTGCAATTCACAGATTGTAACTTCTCTGGAAGGAAGAAGAAAATAATCAAGTCTCTTTTATGCCAAATATAAACCAACTCTTTGTCCTCCTGCAACCTCTCTATTAATCTAACTGAACAGGCAGCGAGGTGGTCGCCCTCAGTCGCAACCGGACAGAGGGAGGATGGATTGAGTGGAAAAACAAAAGGACGGATAAACAGGAAGCGGAGCAATACGAGGACTACACGCATCATATTCTGGATTGTAACAAAAACAGCCACTGATACTAGACTTGTGACGATGCTTTTTAAAGCTTAAGGAGATTACCCACATCGGCAGACTAAAGACACCACCCTGCTCTGCAACATTGCCCCCTCTTCTTACTACAGCACATCCTCCACCACCTGCTCCTCTCCTGGCTTTGTTTACACAGTGTTTTAAGGGGGTTTAACACAGCGTTGACGTCCTGCAGGTTACTGGCTGACTTTTGGATATGAAGACAAAAATGGTAGATATACATCATGTTATACTCTCATTGTAAGGCATATATACTGTATGCTTTACAATGATGTCGGTAAATGTTTTCAGGATTTTCTTTCGCTTGAGAAATTGGATTTATTATGCAAAGACTGTCAAGCCAACGGGCCGTCTGTGTCTTTGCTACACAGAAGGCCCGTGCACTGACAGTGGCAGAAGTGTGCACAACATCAATAGTGAACCTCTATTGGAGCTTTAGCCTCTTCTCACCTTGAATGAGCTGTGGACGAGCGTTTCGTCCAAGTCGATCACCACACACTTCTTGCCATAGTCGGATATTAGTATCTCTGGTAGGAGGTATTTGGCTGGTGGCTGTGGGGAAAGACGAGGCAGGTAATGTCAGATAAATGGAGAGAGAGAGAATGATAGAAGACATATCGTCTGCACAAATTAATGTGTGAGCCTGAGCAGAAAAGCCAACACCGTGTTATGAAGGGTATCTCCATGGGTGACAATGCAGCTGAGATGATGTGTTTAATGGAGCCGTTGCTTCATAAATGACACTCTATGGGACTCTACAACACCGGATATCCCCCCCCTGCTACAGCCACCTACTCAGAGAAAGCACCGCCATCAATCGTCTCATATTTTTGTCAAATCTGTGGAGACTGACTAAAAGTTTAGCAACTCAAATCTTAACCTTTTGTTTAAAGAAATGCCATCACACTTCTAATTCATGTGTGAGCGTGATAGGATGAAGTCATGTGGGAACTACGTTAAAAAAAAAAGAAAAAAAGAAAGACTTTCACTTTGGATGGATGTTGAACCTCATAAAGTCACTGATGGGGGATTTAACCGGTATGTTGGCCAGACATAGAATTCCTTTTCTTGAGTAACTGGATTATTAGTTTCACCCGTTTAGCTGAGGAAGCAAACACTACCGTGGAGCTCAACTCTTACTTACATATATTATCCAATTGCACGGATAAGCAGCACAATAAATGGATTTACTTCTTGCATGGAAGCACCTGAGGCGATTAATGGAAACCGTTTTTACACTTAACTTGTTAAGACAGTTAGTGCCTCAGTATTTCTAAAAGCATACAAACCACCAGGAGTGTCTCCCATGCAGATCAGGCACTGAGACGCCATTTAAGCCCATAGGTGCATATAACCCTTCCATGCAGCCAGTGCTACGATCAGCCGGTACTGAACCGCAGTGTGGTAGCAGAGCAAAAAGCTCTCTGAGGAGCACCGGAGCCCACACAGACAGGATGTGCCAGCACCAGCCCACTCAGCCTGCATGCAAAGGAAAAAGGAAAAGGAAAGGCAATACATACACTAGGGACAGGGATGACCTCGACCTGGTCACACTACAACACAAGAGAGAGACACCCTCATACATAAAACAGGGGCAGGAAGGAGAACAAAAAGAAGAAGATAATATCGTAGACAATATCCCAAACAAACAAATAGCATGCGTTTAGTGGAGCAGCGGCACCACCTTGGGAGGCGATCCGTTCTCCTCGACAGGTGGAGGCAGGGAGCTGGTGTTGCTGGCTGGCGGGTCCACATTGTAGTCGCGGAAGCAGCAGAAGAATGTGCTGAAGATGCTCCGGCTCCTCTGCTTCTTCAGGCTGCTGTTCGACTGGGACGCTGTCAAAACAACAGGAGGGAGTGGGAGAGCGGAGAGGGTGAACAAGTGGATATGCAAATCGATGTTCTGTCATTAAAAAAAAAAAAAAAAATTGGAGCATGCCGAAGCTGGGAAGCATTTACTTTTGGGCATTTGCATGCCGAGCTGTGGACGCTGCTGGAGTGACTGGGAGCAAACGGTTTTATGTCGATTGCAATCCTCCTAAGTGACCACAGTGGCAGTGAGCTGCACTGACTCACAACAATAGGTGGGACCTTGACTGTGTGATTAACTGGCATTAGTGTTGGGTTCTGTTGACCCGGCCTGGCAGAACCACTGATCAGAAAATAACGTGGCTGGCTGGGGTGACTTCATCCGTCACACATAGCGACAGTTCAGAGCGTCATTCCAGCACTACGGCGCAGGGCTTAAATCAGACACCGAGCTTTTATTAATAGTGACAAGTTGGAAGCCACACGCACTCTCCCCCTCCCCTCTTTGCCCTGCCGTGGATCCCTTCACCTGATTGGTCTTAAAGAGTCTCCATTTTGAAAGCGTGCTTACATTCGCCTCCCCGTGTTTCGGCTGGCAGGTGAGTGACTGAAGCAGCCTGGACGTGCACAAGAGATGGGGGGGGGGGGGGGGGGGGGGGGTTCCAACTTGTCACTATTAATAAAAGCTCGGTGTCGAACCGCGGG